AAAAAACTAACAAGACTGAAGGAATTATAAAAAGGAATTATAAAATACTGTTAAAAGAAAAAGACACAAATAAATGGAAAGACATTCCCTGCTCATGAATTGGAAGAAGTAACATCAAAATTCCCATCTTACCAAGAGCAATTTACATTTTCAACTTTATTCCAACAAAAATCTCAATTACATTTTTCAAAGAAATAGAACAAATATACATGGAATTCATATGGAGCCACAAAACCCTAAAATAGCCAAATCTCTCCTGACTAAAAAAAGGAAAATGGAAGTATCACATTCCAAGACTTCAAGCTGTATTACAAAGCCATAATAATTAAAGTAGATATGCTACAAGAAAAAAAATGGACACACAGACCAATGGGATCGAGTAGAAAGCCCAGAACTTAACCCAGAGTTATGAAAACAACCCAAATGCCCAAAATTAGATAACTGGATCAAGACAATGTGGTATATATACACAAGGAAATACTACTCTGCAATTACAAAAGATAAACTCATGCGATTCACAGCAGCATGGATGGAGCTAGAAGGGATCATGTTAAGTGAAATAAGTCAGAAGGACAAAAATATCAAATGGTTTCATTTATAGGAGCCATATAAGAGAACCAAATAATACAAAAAACACCACAACAAAACAAAAGAAAAATAAGCAATTCTACTATACACCAGAGACGTTTTATGGGCGTAGAGTAGGGGATGGGATAAAAAAAAAGTGGGGGGGGAATGCACTGGACTATGGTGATGGCACATGGGTGATTTGGTGATGGGAAGCCCACGGGGATTACAACTGAGATAGAAAAATGCACAAAATGATGTAAAAATAAACTACTATTAAAAAACACAACAAAGTAAAAACAAACAATTATAAACCAGAGATAATCCTATAGGGGAGGAGGAGGGAGAGGGATCAGAGGGAGGAAGGGAGGCATGTTAGGGACTGTGGTGATGATGCACAGGTGAATTGGGGAAGGAAAGAAGTAAACATTGTTTTAAAATGAACAATAATGCAGATAGATATACAAATTAATAAATTTTTAAAAATGTTGGTGAGGGCCCTCCCTGGTGGCACAATGGGTTAGGATGCAACAAGCTAGTTGTAGCTGCTTCAGTGCGAGTTCGATCCCCCACCCCAGAGGTGATCCACATGGCATGACCAACCTCTCCTGACTTGCCTGCTGCTCCCCTCAGCAGTGTTTTCATAGACTTGCCTATCTGCTCCCCACTGGTGAAGCTTCTAACTGCCCCCTGAACCTCTGGCTTGTTCCCCAGTTCTGTATGAATGAATAAATCTTAAAAAAAAAAAAAATTTCCTGGGGATATGGTGAAAAAGGAACGCTCCTACAATGGTGATGGGAGTGCAAGCTGATCTAATCACTATGGAATGCTGTGTGGAGATTCCACAGACTACTAAAAATGGAGTTACTATATGATCAAGTAATTCCACTACCAGGGATATACCCAAAGACACAAAAAACACTAATTCAAAAGAAGACCTGTACCCCTATATTTATGGCAGCATTATTTATAATACGGAAGACTTTGAAGCAATCCAAATGCCCCAAAATAGATGACTGAATGAAGATGTGGTATATACACACAATGGAATAGTATTCAACAATCAAAAAAGAGAAGCTCATGCCACTTGAGGCAACATGGATGGAGCTAGAAAAGATCATGCTCAGTGAAATAAATGGAAGGAAGAAGAAAAATATCAGATGGTTTCACTTGTAGGATGAATGTAGAGGAACCAAATAAGGGATCTGGGAAAATAGTAATAACAATACTAAACAGGGAACTGTAATTCAGAGACATTTTGTAGGGGAGGGTGAGAGATGGTTCAAAACAAGGACAGAAATAGCACAAGGGACTACAGTGTTGGTGCACTGATGAATTGGTGGTGGAAATGCTATGGGGACCACAACTGAGAAAAGAAAGCAAGCATTGTACAAAAATGAACAGTGATATAAAATTAATAAAATTATTTTTCAAAAGATTAGAAAACAGTGTTGGAAAAATGTGAAGGAACCCTCATACATTCTTGGTGGCAATGTAGATTGGCAATGTCTACTCCTTTGGAAAATAATGTGGAGGTCTTTAAAAATACTAAAAAAGCAAATCTAGCAATTCCACTTTTAGGTGTATAAATGAAGAATGCAAAACCTGAATTTGAAGGGGTATTAGCGCCCTTATGTTCAATGCAGTCCTATTTACAACAGCCAAATTATGGAAACATTTGAAGTGCTCAAGGACAGAGGAGTGATTAGAGAACTGTGGCATATATACATAACAGAATACTCAAATATAAAAAGACATGAACTCTTGCCTTTTACAACAGCATGGAAGGAAATGGAGGGGATAAGAGAAAATAAAATGTCAGAAAGAGAAAGACAAATACATGCTAGTTGCACTCACATGGGGAACATAGAGAAACAAAGAATCAACCAAAATGAAGCCAATAATAAGTACTATAAATATGACTGGGAAATTGAGGCTATGATATGGAGAGAAAGGTGGGGTTGGGGAAACAGAAAGAGGAGAAAACACAATGGACTCTGGTGGAGTGTAAAGGGTGCCTTGATGGTGGATATGGTGTGGTGACATACATCTGAAGAGGTATGATTTCACTCCTTTGAATAACATAGTTTGATAAACCAACATTACCTCAATAAGAAAATAAAAATTAAATAAGCAAACAGTCCAAGCTAGTATAAAAAACAAAAAATAAACTAATTAAATTAAAATTTACTGGCCACAATTACAGGTAGCCATGTATCAAGTACATACTTCAAAAATCAATTATCAATCTATGTGCACAGTGATGGAAGAGTGGATAAAAATATGATACACACACACACAATGGAATACTACCCAGTTAGAAAAAATGAAACTTAACATTTAGGACAACATGGATAGAACAGGAGGCGATCTGCTAAGTGAGACAAGCCAAAAGAAGAAATACAAATACTAGAATTTGATACATGTGTAATTTAGGAAACAAAGCTAATGATAGGCAAAAACAAATCCTAGAAATATGACTCCATTACTGAGGCTTCCAGAGGTGGCTGGAGGGACAGCAGCAAATTGGGGAAGAGCCCAAGAACACTATGGTAGAAAAATCACTGATGCTTTGGTGGCAGAGGCAGTGTGGTCATATATTTGTAGAGGTATGAACCTATACTCCTAAAACATATGCTGTATTATAAAGCAATACTACCTCAAAAAAACATTATGAAAAAACTAATAATCAAATTTATCCCATCTTTTCCACCATATTTTACTAAAATTCTGAAAGTGTATTTCAGGTAACAAAACAGCCAAAGCAATGTGGGGAAATTCTTTGGTGTAGTATATTTCTAACAAATTTAAAAAGAATAAAAGAGTTTTTACAATGACCATTTGTAACTCACTTTGAAATAATTGATCTAGGGGTACAACAAATGGGTATTAAAACCATTAGAAAAAGGCTACAGGAGGCACTCCTGGTAGCGGAACAGGTTAAAGCGCAGCACTATGAAGCTAGCTGCAGTCTCCCTGCCTCAGCATGAGTTCAATCTCTGGCCAGGGAGGTAACTCACATGGCGCAGCATACTTCTGTCTTGCCCGCTGCTCCCCTCGGCAGTGTACTTCATCAATCTGTCTGCTCTGCTCCTCACTCTGTATCTGGTAAATTCTCTCACCTCCCCTACTTCTGGCTTGTACCCCAGTTTTGTCTGAATAAATAAATCTTAAAAAAAAAAAAAAAGGCTTCAGGGAAGATAGCTGTTCAGGCTTAGCATCAGTAAACTGGGACCATTAGACACTATATATGAACATACAGTATAAAGCATCTATCACTAAGTAATTGTGCCCAAGCTTGAACCTTAAAGTAATCAAGCTTCTATACTTAATTTAACATGTACATGAAGCAAAGAGGTGGGAGGGATGAAAAGAAGAGGTAAAAATCACATAAATCCAAAATGTAAGACTCTATATAGGACAACTAACTATGAAGGTTTCATAAAGGTGAGACTATTTAGATGAAAACAGACTTAAGAGACAACAAAGAATTGCTACATGAGAATTTAGATTTATATAGGAATTAAAATAAGCTAACAGTCTCCTGGAAAAAAAATCTAAACATTTAATACTAAAGGTGAAATCTGAATGTGGAATTACTATTTTGTACAGTTAATAATGACACCTTAGCTAAGAAAATAAAATATTTTAGGTACATATTTGGAAGTAGAGGTACGAGGGCATGGTGTTAGGTATTTGCTTTCAATTAAAATTAATTACAGCAAGAGCAAAAAAGGCTAAATGGGCTGATGAAGCTGGAAAATGCTGATATCTATTCAATTTTCAGGCTTATTTATAGTCTTTAGTTTTGAGTATGATTAAAACATCTATAATAAAAAGTATTTTTAACTTCAAAGAAAAAAATTAGTTCTAAGTGTTGAGTGCAATTGCCACTCAACTCCTCTGATGTAGAGAAGATAATTTCCCACAGGAAAAAAAAATGAATCCAGATTTTAGAATCCCAGGATAGAATGACTTACTTGCTGGCAATCTTTCTGAAAGTAGATTGAAATAATTCTTCCATAACATGTTGTTGTTCCCGACAAAGAATGTCAGTCATCAACTGCAACAACATAGGACTCTGAGATAATTCCAATGCATCTAAAAACTAGAAAGAAATAACAAAGATAACAGTAATTTTTTACTTTATTCTTTTTATTATATTCTTAACAGTGTGACAATAAAAGGGAAATTACCAGTTCTTGTGATTAGAAGATGCTCTTCATCGACAACCATAGAGAAACATGTAAAAAATAGAGGTTGTTGTAAGGTCTAAAATTCACATACATTTAGAACCCAGAGTGGGACAGAGAACTGTGGAGGGAGGGTGACTATCACTGGAGAGCATTCATAAGCAAGCACACTTATAGACCGGGGTTTCTGCTTTTACTAGTGTTCAGTGTGCAGATTTAAGGTTTTACAGGTTCACTCTTATTGCTAAATGCAAAGAGTAAGAGTAGGAGTTTAATATTCTGAATAAGAAAAAAGATGGAAAACAACAACAAACCTGTATGTGGTTCCAAATAGCTAAGTGATCTAAACAAACCAGAATCTATAAAACATAGATGCCTTGGTGAGAGGAGGCAGCCTGGCACTTTATCTCACCCAGTGGGCTGGCATGTGGTTATTAAAGTGAGCCCTCTTGGGGGAGACTGCCTCAACATCAAACTTTAAGTCAAGCACTAGCATTACAAAAAGAAAAGCCAAATATCAGGGTTTACACTACAGAAAATTTCAGGCATTTTTTGGGGGTGTTGGTTCTTTCAAGACATTGCAGCATTTTCCCTTCCTCTAACTTTCCCTGTCTCCCCAAATTCTGCAATTCCATGATAATGTGCCTTCACTGAGGTCTTTTTCCCTTCACCTTCCAAGTGCCCTATTTGCCCGTTCATTCTGGAGGTATGTGCTCTCTCCTCTCTCCACTTCATCTTCATTGCACAACAGATACTCATTTATTTAATGTTCTCATTCTCCATTTATCATCTTGATGTCTTTACATTTTAGGAGATAGCCTCAATTTTGTCTTTTGGTTTATGATGTGTTCTTTTTTTTCTTTCACATATTTAATTTCCAAAAGCTCTTATCTGTTCTGTTTTGAGAACATGGTAACTTATCTCTGAAGCTTTAATGCAGTTTTTCTGGTAAGTTTTAACTTCCTAACTTCCTTTGTTGATTCAAGTTTCCTATGTTTTTTTTTTTCCTTGAAGCTTTCTGTAAATGTTTTAGTGGTTTCTTTCATATACATTTACTGATCCATTCAGATCAGAAGAAAATACTAATGATTACTTACAATAGAATCTTGTGAATCCAATAACCACTAGGTGATAGATTGTGGAGGAATAGGATACTGAAGTAATGCCAACATGATGCTGTCACTCCATTAGTTACTTGATAATTACAAAAGGAATTCATTATTCAATAGCAATGATGCAGTCACCACCTTAACCAGGTCACAGAGCTTAAAGTCATTTATAATGGTATTGTGATGCTATTTACTCCTTATGTCCAACAGATTAACCTGAATCTCATGAGAAAGCTTTAAGTCTAATTTTCCAGTTTAGAGAAAATATGGAGGGTGAGAAGGAAAATTTAAAATTTCAGTAAACAATCTGACTAAGAGTATGACATCTACAAGAAGTACTATAGTTTATTTTAAAAAATTAATGTCATGGAGAAAAAAAGGGATAGTGATTAATTTCAGATTAAAAGACTAAAGACATGACATTTTGGTGCCATTGTTGATTAGGTCTTATTTTGAAAAAAAAAAAAGAAACAAACATACATAGGGACATCTGGAGAAATGTGAATGCGGAATAAACCACACAATATTTTAAGGCTCTTCATTTTCTTAGATATGGTAACAGTAAAATGCTTGACTTTTAGACCGCATATGCTGAAATAATTTAGGAATAAAATAATATGATGCCTGAAACTAAAAAACATGTTTCTACTAAAACATATGCAAACATTTACCGATGATAAAAGGTAATGGTTATATAAGTGCTTATTTTAATATTCTTTCAAATTATCTTTATGTTTGTGGAAAATATATATATAAAATAAAAAAGGAGAGAATCTGTGTAGATGGGTGGTGTTTGTAAAATGGGCCTTCTGCGTGGTTGCTTAGTTTCCTTGCACAGTGGTGACTAGTTCCCATGGACAAGAGACCCAGGAAATAAAATCAGGAGGAAGCTATAATACCTTTTAGGACTAATCTTGGCAGTCATGCAACATTACTTCTAATGCATTTGTTTTTCTCTGCGGTCAACCAATACCCAAGGGGGGAAAAAAATCAAACTTTCTCCTAGCGGAAAAGTCATACTGTAAGAAGACTACGTGAGAGGAGAAATATTGGTATAGTCATTTTTGGTAAAAATAATCTGCCACTCCTATTCCCTAACATTTATTACAGTGTTTTAACAATCTTTTTCAACATCTGCATTATTTTTGAGAGTTCAAAAAGGGCTCAGTCCATCAAGAGAGTGGCAGACCACTACCCATCCTCCAATAGTCATGCTCTTTATTTTTTTTTGAGGTTGAACTCCTGTGTTTTAGCTGAGAATATGGTTGTACAAAAAAGAACATTCAGGACTCTCCCTGGTGGCTCAACAGGTTAAAGCACTGCATTACGAAGCTCTAAGCCACTGCAGCATGAGTTCAATCCCCAGCCAGGGAGCTGACCCACATGGCATGGCAGACCTCTCCTGACCTGCCCGCTGCTCCCCTCAGCAGTATATTTCAGTAGATATGCCTGTTATGTCTCTGGTGAATCCTCTCACCCACCACATTTCTGGCCTGTACCCCAGTTCTGTAAGCATAAATAAATAAATCTTTAAAAAAAAAAAATTCACTAGCCTAACCTTTCGATGTATGTGAAAAAAAACGGGAGAGGAGCAAAAGTGACATGTCTACATTTTGGTATTAAGTCTTTAAAGGGATGTGTTCTCTACTGCCCTTTCCTCCCTCTTGCTGAAAGGGAATATAACTGCAAGAACTGCAGCAGTCAGACAGGACAAGATAGAAGTTATTTAAGGAAAATGACAAAAAGGTAACAAGACTGCAGAGCTACTGGTTCAGCAATCTAGAACTGTACAGGAGACATATACTACCTTGCTTATGCCACTCATATTTTCAGGTCTTTCAGTGACATATTAACTAAATGATAGTGGTAATGATTAAGTATTTCTCAACCATTACTCAAATAAATTTAGAACATTATTCAAAAGCAGAACTTTTATATCACTCTTAATAGTTTACTCCTTTTTATTAAAAGTTGTAACTGAGAAAAAGTTTTAATTTTACTCACTACGATTAAAAACTAACCTTTTTCATACAGTCCACATAATTATTGTACCGCAGAGTTCCAGGGGGAAATTCTTCAGACTTCATAGGGAAATTAGAAATGATGAGCTTCTCAAGAACATGTCTAAGCTTTTCCAAACTGTCTCCGGTGAGATTAGTGAAGAATGGAAGAAGAATTACAGCCTGCCCCTACAAAGCAATGCAGACTATGCATTTATGGAATAAAACTAGTTGTAGTTTTTAGAAGAGCTACAGATTAAAAAGAATCACTGATTTCTAAATACTGCAAATAAAACAACATGCATTCAATGAGTGAACTTCAGAACCTTCATCAGAAATCAATCTGAATGAATGCTGTATCTCAGCTTCTATTGTAGAGGTCAGTGGCCCAATTCAGGGTTGCATACAGGAACAGAAATGGAACACTGTATGATTCTGTTTGTACTTTTTCCTTCTACAAATACTCAATCAGAAATATAGCAGATTAAGTTTTGTGTAGAAAGAACAACTTGAATAACTAATGGAATAATTTACAACTATCTCTTATAGAACTAACTCATAACTTCATTGTGAGCTTAAACGGAAGTAGGCATTATTTGCTACCTCTGTTGTGGGTAGATAAGTTCCCAGACTCAACACAGTGAGAAATGAGAAACTTGTAATACATAAAGGAGAAAATTCCAGAGAAATAGTCTCATTGGCAAGGAAAAATATAGTTTTCATTAAGAACACACTTAGTAGAATGTGAAATTTATTCATTATAGGATTCTACCTGTTTACATATTTATAATATTCATTATTCTTGACCACAAAAATTAAGAAAATGTTTTATTTTATTAACAGAAAAATGAATACTCGTCAAAATTATATCACTCATAAATACAGCAATTCTCAAAAACCCAACTTAAACCATATATACACAAAAACAAATGGTAATTCCTTTTAAGTATTAAGAACTCATTGCAATTATATTTATCATTTGGACAGATATACTGAAGTATGTACAGCTTAGAAAACATGATACCTGAAGTTTCCTTCAAGGTGATGAGTGGGAGTAACAGTATAGTTGAAATAAACATGACCATAAGCTGTGGCTTTTGAGGCTGAGTGGCAGGTACATAGGAGTTTACTGAGTTAATCTTTCTGTTTTTGTATATGTTTGAAATTTTCCAGAGTAAAAGTAAATACATCACAAATTTGCAAAAACATAAACTAGAAACATAAAGGAGAATATAATCTGAAAAAAATCTTTAATTACTTACCTTTAAATGTAGACCCAACTCTGAGTCAGCAAGTAGACTAACATATGTTGCAAAGACTTCAGGGAATGTGCCATGATTTGTATTAAAAGATAGAGAGGAATCAATCTAAAGAAGAGAAAAACATATTTCTTTCCACATCAGGCCTCTAATTTTCTTTAATACATTTTGCAAAATTTTAAATTTCAGAAATGAACTAAAAGTATGTTCTTGGTTTTCAACAATATTTTACCAATTCCTGTTCTGAGATACTTAAAACTATCTGGTGAAATAATGTGTGTATTTTTAAGCAAAAAATTATTTTGGGGGGCCCTCCCTGGTAGTGCAATGGATTAAAAAAAGCAATATGAAGCTATCACAGCCACTGCAGCATGATTTTGATAACCGGCCAGTGGGGTGACCCACATTGCTTGGCAGACCTCTCCTGACCTGCCGGCTGCTCCCCTCAACAGTGTGTTGCACTCAATCTGCCTGTTCAAATCCCCACTCTGTCTCTGGTGAATCTTCTCACCATCCCCCTGCCACTGCACCAATGGCCTGTATCCCAGTTCTATATGTACAAATAAATAAATCTTTTAAGAAAAAAAAAAATGTGTGTAAAAGCACACTAAAAAGATAACAGTATGGTTATAAATGATAATGGTATAAAGTAAGGGGCAAAGTAGAAGATATAAAGAAATCAGGAGTTATCAAATTAAAATAATGCTTATTAAATTAATGAGCTTTTAAATGACCACCAAATTTCTGAAGACACAGTCACAGGTGTGTAAAACAACCATCATAATGGCATTTTAAAGTCTCTCAAAATACCTGCAAAATTTTTGACAGTAAGGTCAGCACTGCAGTTTTACATTCAGGAGTAGAACCTTTGGCCCACCAAGAATCACATTTCCTCCAGTTTTGTAGAATTGATGTTACAAGTTTCAGGCCTTGGAATTTCTGACTGCCTCGTTCTCTGAAGCTCTGATCTAACAAGCCATTCAAAACAGAGCTCACCTAAAACAAATATGTAGTTATTAAAGATCAATTCTTAATATCAAAACTGGCAGAAAAGCAACAAAAATTGACTTTCAATTCAAAGTTACCCTTGGAAAACAAAGATGCTATTATTTCTCTAACAGATATTTAAATTTTCCCAAATTTGATAAATTTGCAAATATGAGCATTTTAATATGAAGATTTTCCTGTAAGCTGCATGACGTGGTATGTCATCATATTCAATTGACTGTTTCTTAAACATTCTTAAGTGTGGATATTCTTGATGGGAAGAATTTTTTGTCACCACTACATAAACATGAGTACATACACATCTGCATTCACACACAGTTGAGCACACAAAGGTCCCTGCACATACACACATATTTCCTTCATTACTACTTTTCCAACAATGATATCCTAATTTTGGTTAGCTAAACATACAATATTTTGTAATTATTAAAATGTAAACTTTTTTTAGAAGTGATCCAAATCATTCTTACCATACCTTTCCTTTTTTGTTCCACATTTTGTTCTTCCTGAAGTTAATACATGTCTGCTTTCTTAGCAGTTTTCAATGTGTTTTGATTAATCATCATCAAACTCTCAAATTAATTAAATCATTTCAAGATATCTAAACATATGAGTAAATCTATCAATTTCATTTCTGTAGTGACATGGTTCCTACCCTACCTTTGCTGAGTCTCACTTCTGTATCCCCAGGTACAGACCCACCCTCTCTCCAAGATTCAACATCTCACTCCTTCCTGGTTGACTAGTATTTCACTAACATACTTATTTCAGGAACTACCAGATGTGCTGCACAAAAGATACAGACTCATTTGAGATTTGGCATATCTGACATAGCTAGGTTCCACCCTCAAACACAATTCTATTCTCACACATAACTGATAATATCTTTGAATTCAGAACTCAAGGTTGGAAATCTCCTTACTGAATTGTGAAGGAAATGTGACCCCCAGTTTTGACAACACTGTTGTAAAGACAAATGTCATTCAATTTCCTGGTCCTTTGAATGTAACTGCAGAAATTTCTTAGAACTTTTTCTCACGGTGTACCTCCAGAGTATTAAATTGTCAAGGAATGTGGTCCATGTGGAGCTTTTTTTCATCTACTGTGCTGCATCTGCATACTCAGTAACCCTTTTTTTCCTGGAAACTCAAGGCTTCAAATCTGGGATATTGATTAAGTTGTCTGTGATTATTGATTAAGTTATCTTCACTTCTCCTTGGATATGTCTTATATCTGGGATAGAAGTGTAGGCATTGAACTAGTAGATAACGCCAAAGTTTCCTTACCTTTCACTCCTGTTTCCCACTTTATCCTTTTACTCTAATCTTTTAAGAGATCCTCAATTTCAAAAGCCACTATATTTTTCATTTTCTTGTTGATATGAAAAATGGGTTTTTTCCTTCTGATTTTCATTTTCAATAGTCTTATTTAATGTGTACAGATCTTCTCTTATCCCTCTAAACTTTTATTATTTTTATACTTCCTTTTAAGTGCATAATCCTTCTTCCAGAACTTTTCTTCTAACTCATGTAAAATTCCTTCCTTCAGAATGTACCTTAATATAAGAGCCATATATAACAAACCCACAATATCATTCTCAATGGTAAAAATTGAAAGGTTTCCCTTTAAGATCTGGAATGTGAGAAACAAGTCCACACTCACAATGGATTTTCAATATAATACTACTATAAGTCTGAGCCAAACCATTAAGACAAGGGAAAGACATACAAGGAATCCAAATAGGAAAGAAGTATCACTATTTACAGATGACATGATAACATACATAGAGAACCCTAAAAGCTCTGCAAAAAAATTAATTAAAATAATAAATCAGGGCTCTCCCTTGTGGCACAGCAGGTTAAAGCACAACACTAAGAAGTTAAAGCCACTTCAGCATGAGTTTGATCCTCGCCCTGGAGGTGATCCACACAGCACTGCAGACCTCTCCTGACCCGCTCGCTGCTCCTCTCAGCAGTATACTTCATCAATCTGTCTGTTCTGCTCCCCACTTTGTCTCTGGTGAATCCTCTCACCACCCCTGTACCTCTGGCCTGTACCCCAGTTCTGTATGCATACATAAGTAAATCTTTAAAAAATAATAATGATAAATCAGAGTGTTGTCATCAACATAGTGGAGAGGAGATGCTAGAATTAAGTTCTCCCATAAAATCAACTGATAAGGAGAAAAAATAGTGAGTTTCTGAGAGTATGCCTTAAATAAACTGGCTAGCACCTCTTTGAGGCAATGCTAACAATTTGCCCAAAGAGTAATGGCGGAGTGATAGGGGACAGGAAGCGAGAAAATTATCAGTACCTTTCTCCCCTCTCACATCCACAAAGCTAGGCCACTTCAACCAGCGGAAAGGAGAAAAAAGCTTGGAGACTAGAAACAGGGGAGGATCTTGAGACATGAGAGGTCTAGATAAGGACAGGTGGGCAAACAGGCCTTCTTGCAGACAAAGTAAGGGGGTGCCAGCCCTATCCCCTGCCCCTCCTGAACAATAGTGGGACCACTTAGCTGGTGGCACTTTACCAGGGAAAAGACACCAGGGCGCAAGTCACAGGGCTGGTCTCTACATCAGAAGCCTCTTGGTACCTCAAGTCCTCAGGTGAAGGAGGCCTCAGGAACACCATCACTGACCCAACTACCTGACAAGCCCAGAAAGAATGTTGATTCTGCCACACCCAAAGCTGCAGTTTAATCCATGCTCTTTTGTGCTCTTCTTTCTTTATCCCCCTCGGCCAAAACATCACAAGTGAGATGGCATGTCCTAGGAAGATGATCCTACTTCAGCCCAACCATGCATCCCAGTAAACCAGAATAAAACAGCAACAAATAGATCACTGGGAGCCAGAAGAGTCCTGAGAAGCAATTCTCCCTTAACAGTTTGTGTGTTTATTGGTCAGTAGGTTGCCAGTTGTTGCTTTCCATCTTTACTACTTGTTTTGTAATTCTTCTATTTTTCTTCTTTCTCCCCTTTCACATTACCATATTACTTTCCATTTGTTACATTCTCTCCTCTCCCTCCTCTTCTTTCCTCTTCCCCCTACCTAGCCCATGCTTTTTCCTTTCACCTTCATACTTTTTACATTTCCACATCATCATCCTCTTTCTTCTTACCATTCTTTTACTTTTTATTCACATTCAAAATCAGTATTCTTCTGAGGCACACCTAAAGGGAACTAACAGTTCAACAAAGAACATCTCACCCAGCCTGACAGCACTTCCCAATGAATTTGTTCTCAGCATATCCCAGGAGGTGCAGTACTCCGCTTAAGACTTGACTACCACTAGCGGAGATGCCAGATCCCATCCTACGCAGTGTGGGCCAGAAAAGCAGGGGCTCCTGGAGCACAGCTCAGTACACTCCCCACAACAGTAAGAGTGTCTGGATGTGTACCCAGGTGGGAACTGCAGGAATTCCCAAATCTGGCAGCCCACAATGCCCTGGGAAGAGCAACAAAAAACACCTACCTGCCTAGAGTGAGGGTACAGCTAGAGAAAGAAAAGAGGTTGAAAAAAGAGCTCTCACTAAAGCCACTATGACTCTGATACATTCAAAACTCTGCAAGAGAAATCAGAAGCCAAGCCCACCAGCACCAGCTGTATAGGGGAACAACAAACAGAGCAGAATTGAAGGCCAACAAAGGGAAGAAAAACAAATACAAATGATCAAGTGGAGAATGGTATAAACAATAGACCATAGAAAAAAAAGTCAACCTACAGAACCCGATAATATGAACACAGAAGAATATCTACACCTAACAGAGAATTTGAAAAACCCATAATGAAAACAGAGTTAAGAAAAAACACAGAAGAGATAAGATATAATCAAAGAGCTGATAAGAAAGTGAAGGGGACCTTCCCAGGTGGTGCAATGGGTTAGAGCGTAGCACTGTGAGACGGTCCACAGTCACTGCAGCATGAATTCAATTCCTGGCCAAGGAGGTGACCCACATGGTGTGGCAGATCTCTCCTGACACAACCACTGCCCCCCTCAGAAGTGTAATCAGTTGACCTGCCTGTTCTGCACCCCACTCTGCTCTGTTGAATCTTCTTACCCTTGTACCTCTGGTCTGTACCCCAGTTCCTGTATGCATAAATTTTTTTAAATCTTTTTAAAAAAAAAAGAAATGAAGGAATTGAGGATATCATGAATTAGTAGAGGAGGAAGGATGAATCAGTACTCTTGAAAATGCACACATAAAAAAAAACCAAAAAAGAGAAGTACAATAAAAAAAGAATGAAGAAACACTTCAAGAGCTACCTAAAACCATAAGGAAAGGAAATGTAAGAGTCATAGCAATCCCAGAAAATTAGGAAAGAAACAAATGAACCAAGAAACCATTCAAGGAGATAATTGAAAAGAACCTGCCAAACATTTAAAAGGAAAGAAAAACAGACATAGGGGAAGCTAGAACACCAATTTACCACAATGAAAGAAAACTACAGCAAAACACATACTAACTAGTCAAGCTTCCAAAGAAAACAGACAAGGAAAAATATCATGATAAACACATAAAAATCAGTACTATTCCCATATACAATCAATCTGAAGAATTTAAAAAACACCCATATACAACAGTAACAAAAAAAAAAAAAAACTCAACTAAATCTAAAAACAAGGTGAAAGACTCATACATAGAAAAATACTAAAACATTGTTAAAAGAAGTAAGAGAAGATGTGGAGAAAAAGGAACTCTCCTATACTGCCAGTGGGAATGCAAACTGGTCCCACCACTGTGGAAAGCTGGGTAGAGATTCCTCAAGCTACTAAAAATAGAGCTTGCATATGGCCTAGTAAGCCCACTCCTAGGAATCTACCCAAAAGGACACAAAAACTTTAATTCAAAAGGGTACATGCACTCCTATGTTTACTGCAGCACAATTTACAATAGGTAAGGTATTGAAGCAATACAAATACCCAAAACTAGATAACTGGATCAAGAAGATATGATATGGAATATTATTCTGCAATCAAAAAAGA